GAGAAGTGGAGTCATGCTTTCCTTTGCTGTACCCATTGCTGCAACTCTCTCCAGAATCCAAGAGGCTTGGCTGCTGTTAGCTGATCAGCCACACCTTGCTGCTGAGAGAAAGTCCTGGACATAGAAACAATTTCCACTCCAGTATACTTTCTTACAGGAGAGAAATGTCCACCACACACTGTCCAGGGTGAATAGTTGTTTATCCCCATGAGAAGGTTAATATTTTTCACTCACACCATTCTGTCCCTATATGTATTCATAGTTGCCCATTGTTGCCCCGTTGCTTTTGTGGGCTGCAATGAATTTAGGCACACTGAAATTCAGCATCCACAAAAACCTTTATACACACTGTACACCACTAGGGGGCTAACATATGTTCAACTCATTGTCCAGATACAGCATGACTCCCCTGTAGGCAACTTTGACTGCCTCATTGAGGAGTTGAGTGGGAAGGTTCCCTCTCTCACAAGATCTCCTTCCTCCATAGTGGCAGGTGCAATAGGAATCACCCACACCTCTTCCATCCCTTCTGTGAACTTGCACTCAGGCTCTACAGCCTTCCAGAAGCTTACTAGCAAAGTCTTTGAATTTTTGTCATTTTTTTCCCTGTAAGCAACTTCAGGCTCAATAGAAATCTAGCCACTTTTGCCTTGGATTGATCTTGACAGTCTCCTAAGAGGCTTCCCCTTCTCCCTCCATCAATTGCTTTAGCACTTTACAAACCTGATTCCCACGGCATTTGAAGTCACTCAGATCTTCTAAAGCATCCTGTAACCCCTAAGGATCATGCTCTGCCACAGGGTTCAGCAAAGCCACTGAAGTCCCTTAGTAAGCCTGTGGACTCCGCCGGACTACTTTCTTTTGTCCACCTCCCTTTTTATTGAAAGTATTTTTTTCTCATATAATATATCTTGATTAGTTCCCCTCCCTCTACTCCTCCCAGTTTCTCCCCACTTCCCCTTCTATCCAGATCCACTGCCTGTCTCTCATTAGAAAAGAAAATAGGCTTCTAAGGGATAATAATAAAATATAGTAAGTTAAAACAAAACCTAAAACATTGGAATAGGATAAAACAAACAGAAGGAAATATCCCCCCAAAAAAGCACAAGAAACAGATATAGACACAGAGACCCACTCATTCACACACTCAGGAATCCCATAAAAACATTAAACAGGAAGCCATGATATATGTGCAAAGGACCTGTCAGGAAGAGAGAGAGAGAGAGAGAGAGAGAGAGAGAGAGAGAGAGAGAGAGAGAGAGAGAGAGAGAGAGAGAGAGCCCTGACACAACATTATGAGACAAGGAGCCTCCGAAGATGCTGTTTAGTTCATTTTCTGTTGTCCATCTAGTGCTGGGCACACAGCCTGCCCTTCAGAGTAGTTTGTTTTTCAGCTCCAGGATATTATCTGATGTAGACCTGTGCAGGTCCTGTGCATACTGCCTCAGTCTGTATGAGTTCATATTTATGTTGAGCCTGTTGATTCAGATGACCTCGTTTCCTTGGTGTTCTCCATCTTCTCTAGCTCTTACACTCTTTTCTCCCTTTCTGTAAGGTTCACATCCCATTTAGTGCTGAGTGTTCCAAGATCTCTACTCTCTGAATAATGTCTGTCTGTGGGTCTCTGCATTTGTTCCCATCTGCTGCAGGAGGAAGCTTCTCTGATGATAGCTGAGCAAGGCACTGATCTAGGAGTACAGCAGTATGTCATCAGGAGTCATTTTATTGCTTTGTTCTTTCAGTAGAAGAGTTGAACTTGGGTTTACACTAGGCCCCTGGGCTATCTAGTTTCAGGTTCTTGGTCACCCAAGCAGTGTCAGGTATTGGATCCATCTTGTGGAATGAGTCTTAAGTCATTTTTATTTGGTCTGGTAGATTGGGCATCAAAAATTGTCCACCATGCTGAGCAATGTCTACCATCCTCTCAGCAATCCCAGTCTTTCCTCCGATTCCTTCTAGTCCTTGAAATTCATGGAGACCTCAGCTGGCAATGGCCAATGTCTAATGGTTCATATGAGCCAGTACATCAGGGACTGTTTTTTCTTGAATTGTCTCAGGTTCTATGGCTTTGGTCTCAAGGAGTGACAAGTAGTTATATTACTCAGTTCGTCTCAGATACTCAGACTGATCCCATCCACCCCATTTTTCTATAGTCTCAGACGCCAGGCTGAAAGAGAGGTTCTTCCATTTCTTATTTAAAAATCCTTCCCAGTTCAAAGAGTTCAGAAGCAGAATACTTCGTAGTTTCCTGCACTGAGGCATCATTAAAGTCCTCATAAGCACCCTGAATCCTGGATTTTATCTTCTACTGTGTTAAAGGTTGGACCTGAGGCATCTTTCTATCATTTCTGTTTCATTCTCTTCCTACTCACCATTGTGGCTCTTCTCATATGTTTCAAGTGTTCATATAATGGGAGGGGCTCTTTAGCAGAAGTATAATTAGAACTTCTTCTTCCTGCCCCCAAGTTATAAGAAATTACAAGCCAGCTCCTGCATCTCACCCTCTCTTATCAGAAGATAACATGGATGATGATACCTGAATGTTATTTTCCCATTGTAAAGCTTTATTTCCACTTTATACAAGCAAGTTCCATCTGTACAGTGGACTTGACTTCAGTTTCATATCTTATAACCATTGCAATGGCTTGTCAAAAATGTAATCCCATATATACCAATCTCAGGAATTACAATGTATTCTCTAGTTCTTCAACCATTCTCAACGTGTTCTCATACTCAGGCAGAAGACATTGTTCATCAGGGAGAAGTGGCACTCTATACCACATGGAATAAAAAGGTCACTCTGGGCTACATTCCCTCAAGAATACCTCACCTTCAGATGGCTCAACCCACAGAAAATATGATCTTGTCAGGATTTCCACCCTCAACACTCCTCCCTCAGTAATTCAGCCTTAGCTGTTTATCTTACTATTCATGGCAGGGGTCACACAATGCTTCTTGTAAACTTATTTTTGCTTCTGTTTATTTTTATGCTTGTTATGCATTTATGTTGCTTTTCCTGGGGGAGACATTAACAGACATCTATTCATTCCACAAAAAGTACCAGTGACTGACCACAGAAACCATTCTATTCAATACCAATTTGATGAATCAATGACTTTGGTTTTTCTAGATTACTTGCAAGACTGTGGATGACCCATAAACAACTGCGTCACCAGGAAGTCCTACTCCATTGCAGATGATGACTTCATAGAAGCTACTTTATGAAGCCCTCCTTCTCCTGCCTTCTGTAAACATATTTCCCATTTGCTCTAGCACCTCCAAAGATCGTGTGTGGTGGTCAGAATCTCAGGAGAAGCTCATGTGCCCTGCCCCTTCTACTAAAGAGTATTAATAGCACACTTCTGTCCATATAGCCCTAGCTATTGCTGTATTATTTTGCTTATTCCATTGCCATAGCTACAGGGGCAAGGTTATCTCTTCTTCATGATAGTGATGGGATACAGTCATTCAGGCCCTTGCCCAGAGGAGACAGTTTTACTGCATCAGCTATCATATCAGATCTATGGTATGGTTTATAGTGGTGTCTGTTCCAGAACCACAGCAAGATTGTGGGCATCTCTGTGCTTCTATAAATCTACTGATTGCCTTCAAAGAATCCCTATAGAAGGAGGCTACCATGCATATGTAGCTCTCCTCTATCTTAGCCGGGAGTTCCCCTGGCTTTTCTATTATGATAATAACTACTACTTTGCTCATATTGTTTTTCTATCAGCTCTCATGAGTCTGCACAGCTCAGCTTTCTTGCATTAATTCTTTCATTGCTGTGACCAAATACCTACCAAGAACCAACTTAAGGAAGACTATTATTTTAACTAATCATCAGGGTATAACATCCATCAAGGTGGGGGAAGCATGACATCAGGAAAGGTTCACTGTTGTGGCCATGGGAATGTACCCATATGTCAGTGGATCGGGAAGTAGAGAAAAGGGTGTGTCTTCCCTCCTCAGTTAATACTCTCCAAAACACCCAGGTGATTCTGGGAGTCAAATTGACAATGAAGATTAAGCATCCAAGTCTCCACAACAGAATGAGCAAGTCCTTATTATAAAGGAATCTTTGTGTCCTTACACGTTTATGTGAGGTGAGAAAGAGGTCAAGGACATGTAGCTGAGCAGTCAGAAGCATGGTGCAGTCCCTGGGGGTGGGAGAGTCCTGGGAGTTTAGATTTGGGTGGGAAGGCCAGGAGTTAGATGGATCAGGTAAATTTTCAATATCAGATGACCTCTGAATGGAAAGGCTGAGTGAGATAGCAATATACATCTCCTTGGTTCTGTATCGTTGAAGAACTATGAAGAATACAACTCTGGCTACGTCTTCTCTGGGAATTAGGCTCATCTAAGCATGTTTTGCTATCATATGGTCAGATGTTTATATATAAAATGAAGTAAGGGTTGATTTGTTGGAAGATTCTAAAAGGTTCTGTATGTTTTTTACTTTGGGCAATATTGACTTTTTTGGAGTGGCTAACACAGTAATGGGGCTGTAGATGTTTTCCTCATGGAGGAGGCCTAGAGGCTTCTGCTTTATCAGAAATGGTAAAGTCATGAGAAAATCAAGTGAATTCGAGAGTTAGATGAATGATTTTCAATGAGGTTCCATGTGGACTAAACGGGTACACTGCACAGTCATATTAGGCTCTTCATTTTACATTTTTATAATACTCAAATTCCTGGTTCTTAAATGATGCTTACCCCATTCTCCATCTAAAACAAACTCCACAATAATTCCCTGGGAATGTCTTTCTTTCAACCATGAAACAATAATGTAGGAAAATTAACTGGAGTAGACAAAAATAAAGAGGCTTGATTGTTAAGTGAGCCCTAGTTTTGACTTACTACTGCAAGATCTGAGATTCTTCTACAAAAGATGATGATGTGACTTAGTTTAGCTATTGAGGTTCTTTCAAAGTTTCATTCATTATTTCATTGATCCACTCACTCATCTATTCTACAAATGTGTGTTGAAAGTATGCAATATTGTGCTCACTTTGGCAGCACATATATAAAAATTGAAATGACACAGAGAAGATTAACATGGACCCTGTTCAAGGATAACATGCAAATTTGTGAAGCTTTCCATATTTTTCTATTTCAATAAAAGAGAAAAAATCTCATAAAATAAAAACTGAAAATATGGAATTAGACATAACAAGTTAACATATTAATGCTAGATACGTAGTGAGAGTGGGGATATACATACATGTACATATATACATGTATACACACATATATACATATATATGTATATATACACACACACATATATATATATGATCTTTATGAAATTCATAGTCAATCAGGAGTGACTATGAATATGTATACATATATATATGTATGTATATATATATATATATATATATATATGATCTTTATGAAATTCATAGTCAATCAGGAGTAATGGACAGTTTGTTTTTAGTCCTAGAAAAGAATCTAGGGCTTTAGCTGTGCTAGGTAAGTGCTCTATCATTGAGCTACACCACCAGCCCTAAACGGACAATTTAAGCAAGTGTTCTACTTTATAATAAAGACTTCCAGAAGTAAAGTACCATGGGTGATCATGCAAAATATGCCTTTTTAGGAGATAAGTTGAGCCCCAAAGCCCACTTGCATACAGTACACTTGGCCTGCTAAAGCCTTAGAGGAGCATTCCAACATTCCCTGAATAGGTATGGAAAAAAGAGACAATATGGTGGATTGGCAAGGTGCCTCAATGCATTAATAACCAGGCCTGGGACTCTGAGTTTGGAGTCCCTCAGACTCACATAGGGGAAGGAGGGAACCAATTCCTGCAAGTTATTCTCTGACTTCTACATGTACATCATAGCATTTGTGCACATTCCTGCACATACAGGCACATACCATACATATAATAAAAAAAAAAAATTAAAAGAAACAATATGGCGGATTTAAGGGAAACCTTATTGTCTGCATGGCTGGGGATGAGAATAGTGACAGAATTGAGGTTGAAGAAGAAAAGAAGAGCTGGCTGTAACTGTCTGGTATGATAACGTATTGTGTAATATGCAGGCCCCGTTTCAGTTAGCCTATCCTTCTTCCTAGCCATCTGTGTTATTTTTGTACTGAAGATACCGGAAATGTGAGCTCATCCATTACCAGAACCCAGTGTCTTTCACACTTTCAGTCACCTCCCAAATGTCTCTGGCAATTGTGGTGTCTGGGCTTGGCCCAGCTTTCCTGGCAAAAGACAGAAACACACATCTTCCAGACTGGGCTCAGAACATGTCTTCTTGCCTTCTGGGAGAATTGCTGCTTGAGACATCTAATTTTACAGATCATGGTTTTGGAGAAAAAATATGTCACCCCAGAAGTGAGTAGGAAATTATTCACTTTTGGAGAGATAGAAATGTCAAGTCAGATTGGTCAGGCCCCAAGCTAGATTCCCGGGCAGAGAGCCAGGAACCCTAGCACTCTCTGCTCCCATCCAGTCCCAAGATGTACTGATGTAGGAACTGACAGATGCTTGTCCCTGGGCTCTAGCTCACTTTGGAGCAATTTCTCATGCTGCTACTTGTCCTTCATGACCCTAGAGAACTATTACACATCTTCTATCTTAAGTATGGCTTCCAAGGACACCTTCATTGAACTCACAGGCGACTCAAAAGACCACATGTATCCTGTGCTCCCAGAGCATATTTTAACACAATGTCATCAAAATATCAATAATGCCATTTTGTGATTATGGTATATATTTAGTTTTATACCCACTTTAGTATCTGTTAAAATATTCAATGACTAGTAATTTATTTTTCTTAGATGAACAGATTGATGAGAATATTAATGGATGGATTCTTGGGCTTGAAGACCCTTGTCAGACCGTTGGTCACAAATCTTTCTAGCCTTTAAGGAACTAGTATCTAGAATAATCAGATGTCAGGTCTAGAAGAAACTTAGGCTATCGATAACCCATGATTCCACAGACTGGCTACCAGGGACACTTCTTTTTGGATCCGTATGGGTGGAAGCAGGAGAGTGTGTAGCTCAAATATGCACAGGGGTGTAGCTGGAGAGTTTTCTCTCCAGGTCCCACCAAGCCCCGGCAGTCCGACAGCCCACTTATAAAATAAACACATAGACGTTTATATTATTTAAACTGTTTGGCCTAATGGCTCAGGCTTCTAGCTATCTAGTTCTTACATCTTAAATTAACCCATTTCTATAAATCTATACCTTGCCACGTGGCTTGTGGCTTACCGGCATCTTCACATGCTGCTTGTTATGGCGGCAGCAGGCAGTGTCTCCCTCTGTCTTCCTGTTCTCTCAATTCTCCTCTCTGTTAGTCCCACCTTTACTTCCTGCCTGGCTACTGGCTAATCAGTGTTTTATTTATTGACCAATCAGAGCAACACATTTGACATACAGACCATCCCACAGCACACAGGATGCTTTGTTGTTGGAGAGACATGGAAACATTTCAGAGCCTTCTAGAAATTCTTGCAGCTTATATACTTCCAAAGAGGAGCTAAGAGATGGGAAGTTCTAAGGTGATCTGTCCTCTCATTGGAAGGTTTTTTTTCTAATGTATGTGTTTGTTGTATTGTGTGTGTATAGTGTGTGAATTTGATAGTGTAGCTGTGTGTACATATGCATGTAAATACATGTAGTGTGTGTGTGTGTGTGTGTGTGTGTGTGTGTGTGTGTGTGTGTGTGTGTGTGTGAAGGTCAGAAGTAGAAGCTGGGTATCTTTTCCTGGCTTTCTCTCCTCCTTTATTTTATTTTATTTTATTTATTTATTTATTTATTTATTTATTTTTTGGTTTTTCAAGACAGGGTTTCTCTGTGTAGCTTTGCGCCTTTCCTGGAACTCACTTGGCAGTCCAGGCTGGCCTCGAACTCACAGAGATCCACCTGCCTCTGCCTCCCGAGTGCTGGGATTAAAGGCGTGCGCCACCACCGCCCGGCTCCTCCTTTATTTTTTGAGACAGATTTTTCTCACTGTACCTAAATTTCATCTATTTGGCTAGACTGATTAGCCAATGACCTTCAAGGATCCTCCTGCTTTTCCACACCTTCCCTTTTTGTAGGTTAAAAGCATGGACCACCTTTCCTAGTCTTTTTTATTGGTTCTGGGGATCCAAACTCAAGTCCTCATGATTGACATCTCTACCACCTCCTCCATAAGCTCTTGATATCTTCTTACAGCACTGCCAAATGTGCTGACAGGTGATCCCTGCCTGGCCACCTTCCCTAATGGAGGAAACCCTATAGGCCAGGGCAACTTAGTAGTCTCAGCTGTAAGAGTCTGTTGTACTGTGCACTGTGTACTGTTGGGCCCTTAAAAATGATGCCACACTCTCTCAGTGCCAGTTCACCTGTCTCCCAATTGTGACAACAGAAATTGGCTTCAGACAATGGCCAATTTCCCTGGGGATGGAAAGCAAAACCGCCCTTGGTTCAGAACAACTGACTTAGAACCCTCCTAGCAGGATGTGGGCATCTTTACAGTGTGCAGCTATTGATTTTGTTTATGATCTATTTTTTTTTCTTGTCAAAGTAAAACAACACAAACCCAAATCAATCTACCAGTCATTTTCTTTTTGAAACCTTTTCCTCCATCCCTCTAGAACATTTAGACCTGATAGGCCTTTTCTGAACACACGGAGACAGAATCCCTCTGGCTATGGACTTCCAAAGAAAACAGTAAAAACTCTCTGGAGATACAAATAGCTGCTTTATCAGGATTCATCTAAAACAGGTCTAATGTAGAGAAAAAATAGGCCAACAATGTGAATTTCTGAAAATACCATCTGAGCCCTTGGATTAAGCTAGTCTCAAAGTCAAATTATCTAAATATAAAAAAGTCCCTGTGCTTGTTAGTTGCCAACACAGAGCGTATCCCTCCTGGTAGTTGATTGTAGCTGCGACTTTACCAGTTACAACCAGAGAAGAGGTATGAGGGTTTTTTAAATCATATTTTTTTGTATTTCCAGCTGTTTTTCAGAATTAATAAAGATGTATTTGTTCTTTTTCTCATAATCCAACCTCGCTGGTTTTTCAAGGTCTTGAAACAGATACATTTGTTGAACTCTGAGCCTCCCAACCCCTGGATTTGCTCTCCAAGTTTTCATTTTCCATGAAAGACCTTTGCAAGGCACAGTTCTATCCAGGCCTCTATTCTGTTAATAGTTTTTGATACTCTGACTGCCTACAGGATAACTGTCCCCATGCTGGAGTCAAGCATAGCAGATTTTCACAATTAAGTCTCAGATGACACCTGAAGCTAGGGTGTTTGGAACTATTTCCTGTGGGTCCTGCAGGACAGCGCTGACACCTTAGCACACTGTGCATGACTGGGTACTGTGCAAGCCTGATGTGAGTCTTTGCTAAGTACTTCCATTTGTCTGCTGTCTGTGAGGAAGAGACATCTTTCTAGATAGGTGCTCAATTTCCTGCCTTTTCTGAATGTGTTTTTCCTAGTAAGGAAATGCTTAGAAGCAGAGTTAATGGTAGTTGCCCACATTCTACCTCCATCTAGCTGAAGGAGGCCTCTGATTACTATCTTCCTCCAGAAAAGGTCATTGCATGTCTGGCCTTAGATGCAAAAAGCTAGAAGGACCCAGAATCACACTTACCAGTCTACCATCTCTATGCCCCAGACATCCTATAGCAATCTCATTTGAAGGCCTTTCTTACCACTGAGTACTGTTTCTTTGATGATTCTTTTGTCTCTGGCCTTCAATTTGCTCTTCCTAGTGCAAGCAGACTTAACTTATTATTGTTTGTACCAAGTGTCTAGATTAGAACATGACCTGACTGGGGTGAATTGTGATGTTGGAAAAATGAAACTTAGAGGCATAAAGAATTCACTCTGGGAATAGTAAAGACAACCTGTGTTGGAATTTTATTTTATCACCATGCCCGGCTCATGAACAAACACTTTGAAAAATAATCAGACTTGGGCTCAGATCCTAATTCATGAACTTACCAGCTGTGTCAGAACTGTTAATGGTGGCTGTAGCAGTGGTAGTGGCAGCAGATGCTCTGGACAGTGGCTACTGTAGCAGCAGTAGCAATAGTGGCAGTGACAGTAACCATAGCTATAGCAACTCTATAAGCAACAGAGATGAC